TTCTTTTAGATGCCCTCTAAATCCTCTGTAGAGCTGCATCAGCTGGAAAAAGGGGATAGGGAAAACCGGTTGTACTGTCCACTCAACTCCCCCTTCCGTTCGTTTCTTCCCCTTTTTGTTAGGCTTCTCCCCTGAAGAACTTGCCCATCTGTATGTCACGGCCAGTCACACAAAGACACACGCACCCAAAACGCCAACAAACAGACGACCCCACAGCACTAAGCGTCCCCGCCGTCAGTAAGAACCCCTAATGTCATCACACCGACCCGCTGATGGTTCCAGAAAGAAAAGGACAAAAAACCACCACCAACAGAGACGAGTACCATTCATGCCGACAAGAAAAACAAACCACAAACCCCCCCGCCCCCCCCCAAAAAAAAAGAAAGCAACCCACACCCCTCCTTTTTTCATTCTTTTTTTCCAACCTTCATCCTAAGCCGGCGGCTGAGTTCCATCACTCTTCACCCACCCTCCACTCCTTTTCACTATCTTCATCCTCCGCGGAAGCACGACCACAGACAGACAGACAGACAGCCAGGCACGCAATGAGATGGACGAAAGAGCCCCTTCAAAAGGAAGAGCGTGAAACAGACAAAAGAAGAAAGACCCACAAAAAAAAGAAAAAGGAAGAGAATAATAATAAGAGAAAATGCAACGCAACCCAAAAGAGAACCGCACAGTGGGCACATAAACTCGCAGCACCTTCACAACTCTCCGCCAGTTCCCAAATACAGAAAGAGATAGGGGAAAAAGGAGATACATACATAAATATATATATATATAAAGAAAAATGTTATTTTTATTTATTTTAAGATATTTAATTTTTATTTTTTTTTTTTGTTGTTGTTTTTTTGTCTTCTGTTTTTCCAACCTTTTCCTCCTTTAAGGGTTATTTGCTCACAGCACACCAGGCAGGTAAAAAAGAATCCCGTTGGTGTCAACAACAAAGATATTTCATTACTTCATCTCACCTTTTAAAAATATTCCTATTTCTCAACGTTCTGTTTGTTTTTCGCTCCTAATTGTACCTCTCTTTTCCCCCTCCCTCCCTCCCTCTTGGACAATTGCCCAGACTTCCCCTCATCTCCCTCATTCACTCCTTTTGTCCCTCGCACGCCCTCCTCTCCCACACACACAAACAAACAAAACAAAACAAAAACACTTCATTAACGGCGGAAACACAAAATAAAAAAAAAAAAAAATTGAAGAAATAAAACAAACGAGGCGGGCGGTGAGTTGTCGTAAATGTTTTCCGCGTGTCATGTGACGTAGTTGCCCACGCCCCCCTCACCCTCCCTATCCATCCGTTTCTTTTCCCCCACACCCTCCTCTCTTTTTTTTCCTTCCCCCTCCAGCAGCTGTATTCCTCATCTACTCATTTCATCTCCGTTTCTTTTTTTTCTTTTCTCTTTTTTTCTTTTCGTGCACACCTCCTCCTTCCCATCTCGCTAACTCCTTTTTTTTTTTTTCCTTTTGTTTTTTCTCCTTTCAGTTTAAAGGGGGCAATCCGTTCATCCTCATTGCTCTTCTTCCCCCCTTGTCTATTAAACGTTTATACCGGTGTCCTTGGCCCATTTCTCACAAGACAGCATCTCTTCCGCAAACACATGTGGTGACGGGGAAAGAAAAAACAAAAAAAAAGCACCATAACTATCGCGCTCCCTCAAAAAAAATAAAATAAAATAAAATAAATAAGTAAATACAAAAACAGAAAGGTGAAAGCATATCAAACAAATGTGTCCCAGAAAAATCTCAAAGAACAGAGGAGCAGGAGCAAAAAAGGGAAGACGAAAACAAAGTGGGAATAAACCCAGCCTTTTCTTCTACCTTCAAAAAAAAAAAAAAAAAAAAAGAAACAAAGATGTACATCAGCCATATTAACTGGATTACAGTTCATGAAAAGAGTATATATTTTTGATGACCGTAAGTGTGCCTTTTATCATTGGGTATTTACCTTCAAACGCGCTGCGCAAAGATCGAGAATATGAGGGCTGTTGATTTAATTATTTTACTTATTTCCCTTCATTCCCCGACCCTTCCCTTTTTTTTTTCCTTTTTTTTTTTTTTTTAATAAGAGGCAGTCAGTTCTTTTCCTGTCCCCCACAAGGGGTAAACAGAGAAGAGACATCCCCTCGCCCAGGAACGTAGACGCGTTGTACTTAAAAGTGAGCTTGTTTCTGAACTGAACGACCCATTGCCGAACTGGCCAGCAAGCCTTCAAAGGGCAGTGCTTACTTCACAGGGCACGCACGGCTGATGTGACCTGTCTGACCGCAATTGTAGCATGCGCGCTCGCCTCCGGGCGGTGCGTTGGGGCAGTCGCGCGCAAGATGACCTTCCTGCTGGCAGTGATAACACGCCCCACGTGCGACACCACGAAAGCCACCGGCTGGGCGGTTAGGGCATTCGCGGCTAAGGTGACCCATACGACCGCAATTGTAGCACGCACGGTCGCCCATGACACCAGGTGGCCTTGTGGGACATTCACGGCTGAGGTGGCCCGGCTGGCCACAGTTGTAGCACGCGCGGCCACCCATTGCGCCAGGAGGCCGTGTGGGGCATTCACGGCTGAGGTGGCCCGGCTGGCCACAGTTGTAGCATGCACGGCCACCCATTGCGCCAGGAGGCCGTGTGGGGCATTCACGGCTGAGGTGGCCCGGCTGGCCACAGTTGTAGCACGCACGGTCGCCCATGGCACCAGGAGGAATATTCGGGCACTCACGAGCGAAGTGTCCAGTCTCCCCGCAGCGATGACAAGTGCTGCCACCACCTTCGATGCGAGGGCGCTTGTTCATAGGAATTTCGTCAGCCATGGCTTTATAAGGCGTATAATTAAACTTTCGGTGAATTAACTTCTACGGTTCTGCACAAGAAAAAAAATAATAATAATAAATAAAAGAGCAAATATACCTAAACGATTCACAAAAATAACAATTTCGGGGTTTGTTGTAAAGGTAAAATCAAATATATGCATGCCACATGCCTGCAAGGACCTCCATTTACTCTTTTATATTAGCAGTGGAGAAATGAACAAAGCACCAATTATTTTATTTGCTATTTACCCTCCCACGCGCTGCGCAAAGATCGAGAATATGAGGGCTGTTGATTTAATTATTTTACTTATTTCCCTTCATTCCCCGACCCTTCCCTTTTTTTTTTCCTTTTTTTTTTTTTTTTAATAAGAGGCAGTCAGTTCTTTTCCTGTCCCCCACAAGGGGTAAACAGAGAAGAGACATCCCCTCGCCCAGGAACGTAGACGCGTTGTACTTAAAAGTGAGCTTGTTTCTGAACTGAACGACCCATTGCCGAACTGGCCAGCAAGCCTTCAAAGGGCAGTGCTTACTTCACAGGGCACGCACGGCTGGTGTGGCCTGTCTGACCGCAATTGTAGCATGCGCGCTCGCCTCCGGGCGGTGCGTTGGGGCAGTCGCGCGCAAGATGACCTTCCTGCTGGCAGTGATAACACGCCCCACGTGCGACACCACGAAAGCCACCGGCTGGGCGGTTAGGGCATTCGCGGCTAAGGTGACCCATACGACCGCAATTGTAGCACGCACGGTCGCCCATGACACCAGGTGGCCTTGTGGGACATTCACGGCTGAGGTGGCCCATACGACCGCAATTGTAGCACGCACGGTCGCCCATGACACCAGGTGGCCTTGTGGGGCATTCACGGCTGAGGTGGCCCGGCTGGCCACAGTTGTAGCACGCGCGGCTTCCTCTTGTCATCGCATTGTCGGCCATGGCTGTGGAAGTTGAATGGAGAATCGTTCGGTGAATCAAGCTCTATAATTGTTTCGAAGAAAAGTTTAAAAAAAAAAAATGGTAGAGCAACAAAAAGATGAGGAACACACAAAGAGCTGAAGGGTGGGCGTGAATGAGCATCATGCATGTTTCCGAGTCAGGTGCCCCTAAGCTCGTCGCATTTTCACGTGCCTTTTATTGTTTTCCAACAAAAATGCAAAACATCCTTGCACAAAAATCTCCTAAACAACATTTTCTTTTAAATTGTTTTCTTCCTTTTTTTTCTTTTGTTTGCTTTTTTTTTTATGACCTCCTTAATGTGCTACAACACGTAGCGATCATACAGTTTAGTCTGATCGTCACGCGAAATTTGCGTCCATCCACCCTGGTGTACATGATAAACGGTGACAATACCGCCGGAGGCGCCATCACGGTACGTTGCATGAAAAATGGAACGACGTGCAAGTTCGCATGCCTCCTCGACAGTAAGGTTCTTGCGGTACCCCTGGTCAAGAACACCGTAGGCATAGATAGAGCCTGAGCCCACACTGAAAAGTTCATGCTTCACACGTGTGCCCTTGTCATCCACGTAATACAGGGAGGGTCCGAATTGGTCCCAACCTGCCACCATGGTGCCCATAGAGAGCCCGTAGTTGCGGTACGAATAAGTGATGTTTGCCAGTATTTTACTTGCAGCTGCCACGGAGATGCGGCAGTTATTTCGTAGCTCCCACAAACGGCACTCCATACCTAATACACGTTCCCAATATTGACAGTCTGCCGCTCCTCCCGCCATTGTTCCCAAAAGGTATTCATTGATTTCCAGCACCTTCATGACTGTTTGAGAAGAGATGTACTGTCCTGAAGACGCGCGGGAATCCACAGCAAGTATGATACCACCGTCAAAATGAAACCCCAGAGTTGTCGTACCTTTCTTCATATCCAGCTTCGGAACACTGCGCGGCACCGGGCAAGTTTTCATGAGTTTCCACATGCGCATATCCGTTTGAAGACGATTGCTGGTGCTAAGCGGATCTTCCGTCAGCATTTCTCCCGTTGAGGGAATTACTCTGAAGTCATCGTTGCGCCTTGGGCGGGTTTCAATGGATCCATACGAGCTAAGCGTTGGTGCATCCCACTCGTCCCCCTCATCCGAACCGTCCAAGCCAGGCACATTGTGCCACGTGAAGGGTCCAATGCGAGGACAGTCATCAAGTGAGAAATCTGTGCGCAAAACACTCTCAAAATCGGCAATCATTTGAAAACAAAATTTCTTTTTGGAGGGTTTGTGTGTGTGTGTTGTTTTGTTATATTTATATATATATATTCTTCTTCTTGTTGTTGTTCTCTCAATTTCCCCCCGTACTTGTAATATATATGCGTATGTGTATGAAAGCTGCCTGATCACTCGTGAATAAAGGGCCTACATTTGGCCGTGCATGGAGAGTGGGAGAATAGAGCAATTCACCGATGCTGCACCAGCCAAAAGCAAAAATAAAACAACAGGCGGTGAAGTGTCCCGCCCGCCCCCCTCAAAAAAAAAAAAAAATAATAACAATAATAATAATAATTCCGATTGAGAGTTTAGTCATTCACAAACACACGCGCGTATGTATGCCTGTTTCTGCACAACGATCACAACAACACAAACCCGGGCAAAAAAAAAAGGTGTTTCATATCACTGCAGTAATGTCCTCCACAATTTCTTCCTCCGCTGGAAAAACACCGTTGCCATCCACGTCAGCACTTGCGAACTCGTTGGGTAAAGGCTCCTCATTCAACGTGGGGCGAACAGACATACGCCGCAACTCTTCTTCAGACGTCGCCTTTAACTCTTGTGATTCAAAGCTCAAGGCATCCTTAAGTTCCTCGTATGTGAAGTTATCTAGCTCCTCCAACTCCCTTGGGGTTAGCTCACGGTAGCGGCTTAAACGACGTAAACGAGACACACGCTGTCGACGAAAAAAGGGCCAGTCACGTTCAATAAACTCCTTCCAAACAGCCCCAGAATGCTGCATATAATACGGCGGTACCGTTACCTCACGTATGGAACCAACAGGAAGTCCGCTCATTGAAAATGGACCAAAGGATATACGGCCACCGCGCTCCACAGTTCGTCCCAGGTGCTGCATAAGGTGTGCAACAGGCATCGTCTCACCTCTTACCTTCACCTTCAATGAATGCCGTGACTTCATTGCTGGGTTAACAAAAAACTCCACATTATTGTACCGCTTCCCATTCACCAATATGCCTTCCGTGTTCAACTTGTGCGCCAGCACAGGATCAATGGCGGGCCGAACACGCAGCAGATACGTCTGCTGAATCATCGTTTTCGGATTTTCCAGAAGGCGTGAAAGTTCCCCGTCGTTGGTGAGAAGTAGCAATCCATGAGCTCGCATTGGAAGCGATCCAACCGGAACAAGATGATCCATGCCGAGTATACGGGCATGCTTGGTAATGAGGGTGCGGCCTGCCACATCGTTTCTGGAGACGATGACATACGCTGGTTTGTGATACATCCAGAGGCGTGGCGGTGCAAAACGAAGGCGGCCACTATGAGACTCCACGTGAATGCTATTTTCTGCTCGAACAAGACGGAATGGGTTTCTTTCCACCACGTTATCCACACGCACTTGACCGCTGGCAATGATGGAGAGTGCCTCACGTCTGCTACAGAAACCAGCACGTGGTAGACATCGAAGAAGAAACACGGAGCCATCCGGAGTGCCCGATTTGCCAATGCCCCCGCCAAGGGATTTCTTCGCAAAGTCCGCAAGCGGGTCGTATGGTGTCTCACCAGGAATAAAGTCGGCCGTCCTTCGAAAAATAGCATCCATAACCACGGAATTATTCGTTGCAGCTGCTGACGTCATTAACTGGCCAGGGCCTGCCTCATCATTCCCTGCATGTTCCTTAAACACATCCGCTAATGTTGTTATTCTGCCTCTTGGCGCAGTGGATACCGGTTTCGCGGCAATTTCGCTTTGCGCTTTCTTCTCCTCAAGCCGTTTTTGCACCTCCTGATCCGACAGTAGACGCAGCCGACGAGGCAAATATGTGTCATTTCGATCCTCACGCACTTTTTCAGCCTTTAGTTCCATCAGCCGCTCCTTCAGCATGTCTGTGAGCTGCACGGGGGTGTCGCCGTATGTACTCCGACCCTCTTCCCCCTCCGGTTCAATGGTAGGATCCGCGGGTGATAAATTACTCTCCTCCGCGAGCGCAAGACCGTGTTGCCTCGTGTTGCCTGCTGAGAGCTGCAGCACGTCCGGTGAAATGGATTCCCGTCGTGAAGACATTCTCTCTCGTGCACCTCGCTTTTTTGTCCCCCCGCGGATATCAAGACTGCCTTCGTTGAAAAAAGAAGGTGGTGCCTGTGCGTCCTCATTAGGAGGCGCATAGCCGTCGGCGTTTACGACACGCGTGACCTCCCTCCACCTCCGCTTCCTACCTTCTTCCGCCACATGCGAACTCACTGGGGTTGCCTTTAGGTGGGACATGGCGACTGGAAAGTGCCGCTCCACGTCAAGCCGCTCCTCGCGCTTGGCGACATCTTCACTACGCGACAGTTCCGATGCGGCAGGGGACATTTTCTTCTGCCTCTTCGGTGACGTTGGTGGTGGTGATGCGCCTCGGACCCCTGATCTTTTTTCACCGCCGGACTCCCATCGTCGCTGCTGTTGCTGCCATAGTAGCGTAACCAACAACACACGCTGCGGAAACAACAGGCGGCGCATCGAAATCCCTTTCGAGTCCTAGTTTATTACTGGCACTTCTCTCCCTTCAGTGTAGGCACCCGTCCCTGAAAGTACAAATTAAAAAAAAAATAATAATAATAATGAAGGAGTTTGCACACACACAAAAAGGAAAAAAAAAAAAGGGTGCATGTGAGAAAAGAAAAACATACTCACCAACGTCAGGCAATAAAAACTGCCAGTTATGCCACACACCCATCGAGACATGTATATATATTATATATACGCAAAATGACCATCTTACATTTCAAATTGCACCCCGGCAAGGGGTGGAAACGGGTGTTACCAGCAACAATAAACTAGTTATCATCACCAGAGACAACAATTCCATGCATCAACAAAGCGTCGGTGGCAAATGCAAAGGCACACGTGCTTTTTTGAATTGCTGCCTGCTCTCTTTCACATTTGTTCTTGCCTCTCCAGCATTCCTCGTAGTCGCAGTACCTCGCTGAATAATCCATCCCAAAGCGGCAACCTCAGCATCGTACAAATCTTGCAATTTCAATCGGCGATGATACTCGCGCACTAAAAGACGCTCAATTTCATACTTGATGTCAAACTCACTTCCAAAGATCTTCGTCGGAGCCCAATTCGCTTGTGTCTGGTCTGCAGGAGATGGGGTTGGCGTGTGCAATTTGCCGGATGTCCGTGTCACTGAGGCCGCCCCTGTTCCCAGGAGAAAATGCAACAATGCACGCCCTTTACTCCTTCGAGAGACCATCAGCGATGCTAGCGGAGAGGAATCTGATGTAGTATTGTTACACGAGAAAGATTTCAAGGCATCGCCAGTGAGATCCATGAAGACGTAGAAATCCGCCCACGCCTTCCCCATGGAGGCCACGCTCACACTGAAGTCCATCGGCGAAAGAGTCCTTTCGCGGCTTTTTCTTCTCGGCGCAGGGTGAAGAAAGCACGCATTGACTGCATCCTCAAAAACATATGAAGAAGACGTTGCCTTCCCACCCTTTATCCATCCACGTTCTTTGGAGTTATTCCAAATACAAAATTCTGTAAAAAGTGGCGATGATCTCAGACATTCACGCAGAATTACATTGCCAACCCAAACAAAGCGACTATTTGTAAGCTCAGAGGCATGTTCTGTACTCTGCACCCGCGCCGTACACGTGGTGGAGACCGCAGCATCGGTTAGGTCTCGTGGTGACGCAAGAACTCGTGGACGGGAGCCCATAGAAGAAGGAAAATCCAGCTTCCCCATCTCCTGTAAGAGTCCATGCACAAAGGCTGTATCCGCTCGTACATTAAAACGATGCTTGACCGAGGGCTGCTCATGTGTCGTCTGAAAGATTAAGCCCTTGTGTTTCTCCTCATTAAGACAACTCCATCGTTGAGAATCAGAAGTCCGTCCAAAATTTGGAGACGCAAAGCGCGAAGAAGCTTGGGAACGTAATGTTTGCATCATGATGGAATGCCTAAAGTCCCGGGCGGAAGAGGTATTCAAGGTAACTTCATTACTCAAGTTTACAAAAGAGCAAATCCTATCCGTCAAGTGCAAAGGGCTCTCCGTTATGATACCAGCCCAGCATTCAGTGTTCCGCACAGCAATTACAGCCTTCATTAAAAGGGGGTGATTGTAACACTGTTGGTGGCACTCGACAAGAAATAACAATCGTTGACGAATGTAATCACGCCTTTCAATCTCCTCTTGCTGGATGAGAAGCCATTGCATTTTATTCTCCACAGAGGCTTGTTGAATAGAACGAAACAAGACACACTTTGCCCATGCTCGTTCAATAACCCTTACCGCGCGTTGGTAAATAATATGCAGCTTTTCGCTCCTCAAAACGCAGTCCTTCTTTGCACGCATAAATGCATTCACCAATGTTACTACAGGTTTATACTTCCTTATACCTCTCATCTCGGAATCGCTATGAATACTTAGGGCATAAGTATTAAACGCCTCGGACATGACGCGCTTTGCCATACGGACACGAAGTTCCAAAAGACGTTTTTGCAATTCAAGAATTTCCCTAATGCGCATGACCAGAAGCCCACGGCACCTCACGACACCTCCCAAAACCAGCCTACGGAACCATCTTTGTATACGTGAGACATATGCATCCATCACGGCACGGGAGAATGGCCTTGACCGTCCCGAAGTTCCCAACGTCTTCCCCTGCGCCCCTGCAGCTGCTCCACGCTCCGCTGAGTGCGACCTAACACTATAAGCACGGTTTGAGCGCCCATTACGTTTCCGCTGAGCATTCGTGCTCCCACCCGCTTTCAGAGAGCGTCTTTTTAAAGACAATTTGCGACTTTGTCCCTCAGACCGGTTCCTTCGCTGCGCACCATCGGCTTTACGACGAACCTTGCCCGCCACAGCACCCCCTTGCAGAGAGGAAGACGAGAGCCGCGATGCGGACTGGCGCCTTTTGGAACTTGCCGGCCTTTCGAGACCACCGACCCGCACCATGTAATGTTTCTTCTCCTTCCAGCACCCTTGCGCGTTGTGCAGTCGCACAAAATTCTTTATATATATATAATTTTGTTGAAAAGCAAAAAAAAAAAAAATATCGCATGAGACCGCCAAGAACGCTTACACGCATGACCGTCAAGCTAAACAGATAAGCGCTTCAAAAATTTACAGTCACACACATAGAGAGAAAGGTAAAAAAAGAGAATTATGTGAATGCATTGTGATCATTATTTGTATGTATCCATCCAATGGCGGGGCGTGATCTTCGCATCTACTCTGCCCTTTCCTGCCCACGCCAAAGCCTTAGTGCTACTTGAACTTCTCCTCGCCATAACTACCCATGGCATAAATGGGCGCAGCGAAGGGCTCATAGTCCGAGTAGCACCGCTGAAAAACACGCTCGACCGCCCGCTCCGAAAATCCGCGACAGACGGGGTTCTTTTCTACTGCAAGTGTGGCCCGCCGCTTCACGCAGCGTATACCGCTACGCAGCGGATCCAGCCGCCCACGCTTGAGCTCCTCTCCGACAAAGCAATCCCCACTAAGCCGCGCTGCCCGTATTTCGCTACAAGCCTGATGTATACAGTCCGATGCCTCAATCACACCACGCGTGTCGTCAAAGGCATGAATGAGTTCATGACGCAGATTTCTCTCCACGGTTTCAATTGTTCGCTTGTCAGGAATATTCGTGCCGCTGTTACCTGCCTTGCCAACCATGAGCTCCTCAACAAGCAAAATATCACCCTTTTCACAGTCTTCGCGTGCACGACGCCACATGTACCCCGCCATCACGTTGCCGTCCAAAGGACCAGAGCCATTATTACCCACGGCACCACCACTGTGAATACCACGATTTAACGTGACGCACTTGATACGTTCCCGATGAAATGGCTTGCCTGTGATTTCCTCAATGCTTTTAATAAGGTACTGCACTGTATTCACCGTGGCGAGCACCTCACTCACGGCAGCCTCACACTGCTGATGAAGGAGGGATGCCTTCACGCCCTCCTCCCCCTCTTCCACGTCATTCCTATTTTCTTTCCCCCTTCCCCACAGAGCAACCATGACTTGGGTTACCGCCGGCGCGGTAAAAATGTATCCCAGCCGCGACGACAACTACAAGAACAATTATTGGGACAAAAAAAAAAAAAGGAAACACACACAAATACAAGCAAGCAAGAAAAAAAGGAGAGAAAGAGACAAAAGGGAAGGATAACGCAATAATGGGCGGGCATAGCCACATCCCCCCCAAAACGTGCATACGCACGCACACGCGCACAAACGCAAGCATTGATGATGATACAGACGGGACAAATCACTCGATCCAAATATCAATTAATCAGGTAGGGGGGGGGGGGTGGGTGAGAAAGAAGGGCAAAGCCATTATTTTTCTGCTGAAATAAAAAAAAAAAAGAAAAAGTTTTTTTTTTTTTTTTTTGTCAATGGTACGCACTTCCAGCATGCATGCAGGCCCAAATGAAGAGAAAGGGTTAAAAAAAAAAAAAAAGAAAGTAAAAAGGCAAACACACATACACACAAACGAACAAATTATGAGTGAAACAAAAATACTCCAAACAAACAACAACAAAAAAGAAAACACAAGCATTCCTCTTCTGACGCTCCTCGGAAGTAGGGCGTTCCTGGGCCCTCCCTGACAACACCACGCATCTAAAAACGCCTCCGTAAAAACAATAAACAACTAAAAAATGAAGAAAAAAAAAAGAGAGAGAAAAAGAGAGAGTCACGCGGAAACAATGCGCATGCCGTATTTCTCCCTCTTCCACAGTCCGGCAGATCCCCGGTCGTATGTTTTCATGACAAGACGGCTTGACTTCGGATGCCCCCCGCCCGCAGTCTCGCCGCCTGAGCCCAAAACCCACGCTGAAGATGACGGCTGGTGGTGGGATCCTTCGAAAATAAAATCCAAAAAAAAAATAAAAAAAAAAAAAGGAGATCCAAAACATCGCATTTCCCCCCACAGACACACACACACACACAAGTACCAAAAAAAAAAAAAAAAAATCAGCACATCAGGCAGAAAAAAAAATCCTCTCGTAAAATTAAAAAAAGAAGAAACAAACCTAAAAATGTAATATTTTACACCACCACCACCACCACCACCACCATCATCGTCATCTCTCACGGTCTCCCCACAACGGCCTATCATTATGAAATGGCACGAAAAACAAAAACAAAAAGCCGATGTTTGTCTTTATTTCCTTTTTTCTCTCACTCCTTCTCACCCCAATCCCTCTTCCCCCACCTCCGCAAGAGAAATAAATAAATATATGAGCACACATGCGCTCTTTCTTGCTGCCATTCCACCCACCCACCCACCCCCCAAGCACCCGCCGTGTTTCGTAGCCATTTATTATCCTCACTTATTGCCCCAGTTCGATGGTTAACTTCAAGAAGTGCGGGGGAGGCTCACAGTTTTTTTTTTTTTTTCTTATTATTATTATTATTTGTTTTTGTTGTTAGAATCCATACGCCGCAAAACCAACTTTTGGACAATAATGAAAAGACAATTACCCCTCAAAAAAAAAAAAAAAAAAAAAAAAAAAAAAAAAAACGTAGCCCTCTTTTTTTTATTATTTTTTTCCTTCTTATGCGTGTATGTATGTGTGTCTATCCGCAAATGTGCGTCCGCAGTACTTCCGAACATTTGGCAAGAAAAATGGTGACAGCGGGACAATTAAAAAAACCAACGCAGCGTTTCTATCATCCTCTCCGACCACATGCAGGCACAAAAACACAACGCAAAAAAAAAAAACAAAAAAAAAACGACTACATGGAATAATAATAATAATAATAATAATAATAATAATAATAGTAAATAATAATAATAATGGCAATAACAACAACAACAACAATAAAAATAAAAATAAAATAAATCCATGCACATAAATACATAGAGGCGCGGATTAGATGTATCGTTGTTCTCTCCCTCCCACGCCCTCTCTCTCTTTTGTTTTCATGATATGCCTTAAAAAAAAAAAAAACGCAACCAAAACATATGACTCAACACACACACACACACACAGAGAGAGAGAGAAAGAGAGAGGAAAGGAATGGGCTCAGCCATTGATTGTATCAGTTCTTTTTTCTTTCCCTGTCATTCCGGCAAGGATGGACAAAAAAAGAGGTGCAGCCACAAAAAAAAGGGTGCCCCGTCAAGTGTGTAATAAACCCAAAGCCATATTGAGCATTTTGCTCCCGTCACCTCCTCCTCCTACCCCACTCAAATCCCACTTCGTTATTGTTTTATTACTAAGTATCACTGAACCTCTCTTTCCCAACTTCCCTTCCTTTTTTTTTTTCTTCTTAAATCCTTTTCTTTCTTTCCTTCCTACATATTTATTTATTTATTTTCTCCTCCCCGCCAACTCATTCTTCCTTTCATTTTTCTCACCCTCAATTCCCTCCACCCACTGTGCCGCCGCTCATTCCCCGCCTGCAGTGAACGATAATCTTCCGGAAGACTGTATGTTCCGCGTGTATGCCATTTCCCCCCCCCCCCCCCCCTCCCCCTTTTTTTTTTCTCCAGAGAAGCAAGCAAACAAAAACGGAGATGCGTCCAACTATTAGAGGGCCCCACAATGACGCATACACCCACCTCCTCAGAAAGTTTCAGTAAGACCCCAAATGGAACGCCGCCCCGTGTATTCATCCTGTCTTATCCTCACTTGGACTTCTCGGCGTCGCACATAGTGGTGGTAAGAGCACATTTTAACCTCTCCTATATCCCATTGGCTTCTTTTCCCTTCATTATATGTATATCCTCGTTTCCCCCCCCCCCCCCCTTCTTCTTCTCCCTATTAGTTTTTTTCGTTGTTGTTGTTCTTCTCTTTTCCGTATCTCGCTTTTTTTCTTTTTCGAATATAAATATCTTTGCTCATTCGTACCCTCCGCGCAGTACGCCACTGTCCCCAAATACCGGAAATAGGATGGTTTTTTGTCATATTTTCCCATGAATTTTCCCCTAAAAGCCCTGAAAGAAGGAGTTTTGCTGCTCACTTTGGTGGTACCGGGTATTCAACCACTCCATGCCAAACTCCAGGCCCTTTTTAGGCTTGCAGGAGGCATCTGTATCCGCGGAGGCATTCTCGGAAGCATTAACTGATAGAACAATGTTGATGACTTGTCTAATGTGCTCCAGGGCATCCTCATCTTCTTCGTCGAACAAAGGCTTGTCCTCATCGCCTTCCCTCAGCAATTGGTTTCTTTGAATGCCCTGGCGAGAAGCGCCATTTATCCCACCAGACAAAACAGGAATGGTGCTCTTCTCTTGCTGCCTCTCCTCCGGTGTGGAGGAAAAGCTGGCAAGACCCATCTGCAATTCTTTAGGGGATGAACGCAACGCATAATGTCCCTCATCGTAGAAACCACCTGGGACTTCAGATTGCTTCTGAAACATTTGCAACTTCTCTTCTGGCGCCAGGCTGTTTTCTCGATTGGGGGACAAGAGAGGGCTCACAGAAATTGGGGCGGGTGGGACAGGACAATGCTGCTTTTGTTCCTGTTCATGTTGTTGGAATGAAAAAAGTTCATCTGCGGGGACGGGGTCCCTTCGTTTGCTATTATTCGTGTTGCACGCAAATGCACTCTGGGTGGGTGTCTCGGAAGGCGAAGAAAAGGCCAAAAGATCGCGGAATAGCGGCTCTGGGCCCTTGCGCGTTGACCTCATCTCCCTGTCAAGATCCGCATCCGTCACTCCAACGGCCATAGGAGCTACTGGGCGTTTCAATGCATGCCGTGACGCGACGACGCCGGTTTTAGCCGCAAGTACCGTGTCACTGAGCGCCGTCCACGTGTCGCCGCCGATGGGCATTGGAATGGTGGGTAACATTTTTTTTGTCTCCGCTCGCTTAGAAACCTCCGCGGTGGTTGCAGCAACAAATTTTTCCATCTTCGCACTGGGTGCTGCGGGGGGTGTGACGGTTGTGGTCGTGGAAGCATTCCGGGCGGTGGTATTGGTGACGCAGAGAGGCACCCCGCGGTAAAAGTTCTGCATGGCCAAAAGGGCCTGAATGAGCGGGGTGCGCGTTGGGGCGCTCGCGCTGGAGGCAACATCTCCCACTGCGTCAACGGGCATCACCGTGGAACGCACCTCAGCCGCCGAGGATGTCGCAAGGGATGGCATCCAGTCGCTGTTGCATGAGGCAAAATTCATCCGGGCCAACCCCGCTGTTCGCGTCCCATCCCTGGTGGAACTCGCGTTCTTACTGCTACAACTGTTCCCACACCCGTTGCTGTTGGCAGTGTATGCACTGGAGCGAATAAGTGAGTAGCCACCGTAGTAGCTGTGAGTAGCCATATTGTAACCTCTTCTTTATTACTCCCTCCCTTCTCCTTCGTTCCTCTTCCGTTTTTGTTTTCTTTTTTTTTTTTTTTTGTTTTTTACTTAGCAATCTTCTCTCTCGTGCTGTATGTTGCTACCACACTAGAGAGCCAACAGAGGTAGAATAGCGAAAAGAAAAAAAAGAGAGTGAAAGAGATACAGACAGAAAAATAAAAACATTACAAATAGCAAAAAAGCATCTTCACATGCGCGTCTTGTGATGCGGAGTTGTGTTGAGAGGGACCCGCCACAGAAATATTGAGAGTAACCGGGAAAAAAAAAAAAAAAGGTATCAACGCAGAAGACCGGCGTTTGCCCACTCTGCAGCAGCGGCGCTATTCGTCGGTTTTGCCTCATCCCATGGACCGTTAATTTGTTTCTTCATACTCCCGTGCAGTGTCACAAAACACCATGGAATAAACAACGACACGGCCACCACCAATAGACAGTACAGCACGGCAAAAATAGCCGCCTGCATCAAGCACCCAGCTGCAAGCCCACAAAGCGCAAATGTGAGTCCCACATGCGCTGTCGCCGAAGTGCGCTTGAGGTGATGCCTCGGAATGGGTGAGAGCGCAAAGCAAAGGATTCCAAATGTGATCAGAGGCCCACTACAAAAAAAATTTTTTATTCGTGAAGCCACGAGAATTGTACCAAATGTTGCCGCACTAACCGCCGTATATTGTTGATACCTTTCCGTATAACAATTCAGGTAACTATAATCTGTTAATAATAAATGAATGCACATTGCAAAAGTGCTAAGGGCCACAATCGTGTCATTGCTGTACGTGGCCGTAAGCGTCTGCAAGGCAGGGGAGAGAAGAATAATAACAGCCACCAACGGAAGAACCTGCCTTCCAAGTTTCACCACATGCTGCAAAAGCGGAGTTGTTGTTTCACCCTGCTCCATGGCCTGTTGGCGCTGCATTTCAACATAAAATACAAAAGAGAGCGCAAAGAGTGTCGTGTTTATCCACGCCAGCGCATACGCATTCCCCTCTTCCGAGTACATCTTAGCGAATGCAAAAAGAAAAAGCGCAACAAACGACAACTGCTGAACAACGACAAAAGTATCCATTACAACCTTGCCGTACTCGTATGTTTTCAGGTTGACATTTTGCCTTAGATCCCGCATAAACTGCTCGGGATCGACGTAGTTGTCCTCAAAGGGCTGCCGCTCATACAACACCTTCCGCCACCCCCGAGCCGCAGAGCCGGTCGACGAGGCCCAATGAACGGACACGCCAGCGAAGAATTCATCACTACTCGTTGCCGTATGCGTGCGACGCCGCTCCGATGACATGATGCTCGGTTGTTACCTTTTTTTTTTTTTTCCCCTTTTCCCTCAGCCTCCTCCGCTTCACTTCGCACTAATAATAAATAAATAAAAAGGCAAAAATTCAATCAATCAAACCAGAGAAAAAAAAAATATTTACGGAGGGTTGCGGTTGAGTGTGGGTTGGCATGCACAACAATAAAAATAAGAACACACACAAAAACAAACAAAAAAAAAAAGAAAGCGCAGAAAAAGGAAAAAAAAAAAGGACATGACCGTGTCGCATCGTTACGTTGATCTTTCCCTCGTCCATAATTTCTTTACCCGTGTGGTTTTGCGTGTCGGTGCAGGTGGGTGGAAGGTGTGCCGGTCTTTCTCTACCTCCCCCCCACCACCACCACCACATAAAGCAAAATCTCACTGAAGGTTTTGTTCTTCCTTTCTTATTCCTCTTCTTCTTTCCCCTTTTTTTACATACAGGGGTTACAGGAACTAGTAGTAACGGCAACAGCAGCAGGCATATAAATATATATTATATTATATATCCATCGAGTATTTTTATTGTATACAATTTTATATGCGATACACTTTTTCCGCCTTTTCATCGGTCTGCATGTGCATTCACAACTCAACGCGTAAGAGTGACAAGGATCCCTCAGAGGAGCCGCACACAATCACCTGCGGGTTGGAAGGATGAGCCGCGCAGCACGTCAGTGTGGCACCAAAACTTCTCAACGGACATGGCACAGAGTTCAAAAAAGAGAGGTAGAAGGAATGGAGAAAAAAAACCGTCCCGCCAGATTCGTCCGATGCATTCAAATTTGTAAAGGATTTGGTCGTGACGAGAATGTACTGATTTGGTGTGACGCACCAACTCGTAATACGCCCCGGGGCGGTGACTGACCGCAACGCCACACCATTGACGCCAATCTGATGTATAACGTGATCCAACGCGGAGGCGTATAAAATATTCGGCAGGTAACATGACGCTTGGATAAGCACGCGGTCAATGGAAAAATTCTCCGGATGCCTCAAACTGCGCTCCAGTCGACTGCTCGTAAGACTATGCAGCATCAGCACACCGTCCCTGCTGGCGGTGGCGACAAGGTCAAGCACGGGACTGAGGTCTACGGCGGTGGGATTATCCTCGTGCCCATACACCGTAAAGAGCAGCTCCACTCGCAGCCTGGTACGCCCCTGCTGCAGCTGACAACTCCACACAACAAAGGTGGTGTCCTCCGCGCCGCTCACGATGTAGCGACTGTTGGAGCTCGCAGTGATGCGCACAACGCGGCCGCGATGCGCACTTAGGCGCTCCTCCGCAAAGACGGAAGAGGAGTCCAGCGGACGGATCACAAAAGTATTGTCAAAGAGACCACCAAAGGCCACAAACACTTCGTTATCGAAGGAAAGCACCGCCACATTCTCCGTCTCACACGGACCACCGGCCTTTTTGCTCGTGTTCGGAACCACACCTGTGGGAAGAGGCGCAGTACGACGCTCAACTTCCTCCAGCATATCAACGCTCGGGCGGCCTCGAGAAATTCCGCCGCCGCGGCCCGATGCCGAAGGCGTCATATTTGACAAACTCGGCAAACCCCCGCTGCCTGCAGAAGCTGCCACGGAGTTTTCCCCCGCCCCCGTTGCCGCCGCCGAACCAACAGAGCCAGCAGAACATGCGCGTCTCGCCCGTTTCGTAAGAGGGGCCACAATAAGCCGGAAAAGCAGAGCCGTCCCATTCCCGCCCACAAGAAGGACACGATCCGATGCGAATAACGCCACACGAGCAACACAGGAACACGTGCGCTGAACATCAATTGTTTTCACACTCATAGAGCAACTTATTGGATCCAACAAATCATAGGGGCGTCGTTCAACGTGATTCTGCGTAAAGAGTTGAATGGGAGTTTGCCCAATGTTATCAAGGGAATCGATAAGCAATTGCCGATCCACATCCGTATCACGGTTCTTGTCCAGCTCCTCATAGGAGTGCCAGTTAAAAACATTGAGCGCGGCAATGGCTTCCTTGCCCCGCTGCTTATACCCAAAGATCAAATCGATCCAATGATGTAGCATTGAAGAAACATAATCGCTTTCAAGAGCCTCCCGCATTCGATAAATAAATTCGTACGGATCTCCATGAGACCATGGCGGTAATTCAAGTGAATCCATCGCTTCTCCGCCTTGTTTACAACCAAACCGAACTCTATTTGTATTCATGCAGATTTCTGGCATATAAAAGAGCTCTGGTATTAGCTCTCGCACATCCTGTGAATTTGTAGTCACCCCATGCCAACATGAAGCCATGGAATGAAACATACGGTCAGCATGATCAAAGTGGCCCCCTTGCAGGATAATCTGCAAAGTGGTGAAGGGCTCCATACGAATCAAATAATAAAGCACCACGGCAGAGGAACTGTAATGTGTAAAGTAATGCGCCGGAATATCTCCAAGTTGTTTGGTTGCCTCGTATCGCATCTCCACACGTGCACGAGATTGTGGGCCCCCACATATACCGACTGGTAGCGTAAAATCACGGAACGTAGAAGGGCTTTCCAAATCCAATGTTTCACTAGTGTAGTCCGCGATAACCCAGGGAAACACCGGATACTGGGTGATGTCATTCAAGGTACGGCCACCAAAAAAATTGAGCCACAACAAGTATTCAAAGTTGGAAATCTCGCGATCACGCCACTGTTCCATGCGTCGCCAGAGCATTGGATCTTTCTTGGGATTCACCTGAAAAATATATAAAGGAGAATGAAGTAATTTGTGCCTCCCAGCCGCCGTACGTATGTTGTTCACAGCAGCCCGCATGTCTGGAAAGGTGGCAAAGTTGATCAACACGCTCATTCCATCAAGAAACCATAACTCAACCGCACTACGCCGCATTCGAAAACGTCGACCTGGCGCCAAGATTTTTACATGACCCGATGGATAAATGATACTTCCTGGCTTTATCAGCAATGATTCTGCTTCTTCCGCAATTCGTTGATTATATGCCTTGTTTTCTTCATCGAAAAAGATACAAAGATCACTTTCCCGTATCACCATAGTCGCACTCCAGCAGTGCATCATGTACGGAACCTCACATGCCATGGAGAAGTGTACGGTTTGGTTCGCCTCCGTTGCCACCGGGAGAGCTGCAACACCACTCAATTCCATCCCTTCTTCTTCTTCCATTTGTTCTTCCTCGTCCTTTCCCTCCTCCTCTTCGTCTTCTTCGTCATTCCCTGAGTTTTCTGTGGATAATAGCATGTGTTCCCCGCCGCGAGGACATGGCTGCTGCTGCTCAGCCTGTTGGAGAACTAAGGAGGCGGATCCCATTGTTGTGATATTCGCATGGTCAGTGCCATTGGAGTCAAACACCAATTTTCGGCGAACAAGCTGCTGCTGTTCCACCTCCAATAAACGGACGTATTTGGTACTGTGCTGTCCAGCCGGGTCAAAATCCCAGATGGTGCCCTTGCACCGCTCCAGAAAGCGACGCCAGACTGTGTTGAACACCACAGTGGCAAGCTTACGCGCTGTTTGTGGGGCAAATCGTTCCTTGAGTGTCTCCGTCTCGGCCAATTCCTTGGATGTCGCCTGCAGATATTGTTCCAGCGCATCAAGCATTAACCTGCGGGCAACACTGAGGCCCGTAATGATCTGATGCAGATGCGCCATGACCTTTGTGTGTTCTTCTTCAATCAGCCGGACGATGCCCTTTTCAGTTAACCGATCCCGCTCCATGACGAGCGTACAATGACGTATAAACCCATCGTAGTCTTGTCGAGACGCCACCTCTACAAACTCCACAATCGACCTTTCTCGCTTCCTGGAACAAAGCCAATCCAGAGTATCCTTCCGTGTCCGTGGTGCACTTTCATAAGCTGGACTCTGTGCGTGAAATATCTGCATCTGAGCTAGAGTCCTACGATAGAGAATACAAAGACACTTGATACAGTCCAATATTTCATAGTTTAAGTCCTCAAACCGTGTGGATGAACCCTCCACGGAGAAGCGCAAACGTCGAGCGAGAAGATCGTGTAAGCCGAGAATCATGATCATAGAACCGGAAAGTGGCGAATGCTCCCTCTGCTCTGTCGATTGGCGTCGAAGAAGCAAAAAGGAGCTCTGCTCCTTTTCCACAATTCGTATCCATCGTCCCACCATGAGCACAACACCCTCCACCTGCTCGGCATCCCGCAAAATGAAGTTGCATGTCACGCGGAAAAGACGCACAAATAAACGAAGAAACCCTCCTTTCCGAACTCGACGTCCCCGCATGTAAAAATCCAAAGAACCGCCGCTGTTCGTCCCACCTGCGTTAAGCACGGCAGCATGTGTCGTGAGAATATGCATGGTGCATACGGCAAGAGTCGCATGAAGCCAAACCCCGTCGGGATCCATGCGAAATCGCATCGCCTTGTCACCAATAAACAACTGACCCCCTAACGCATCAACGGATTCTTCCCTCTCTTCTTCTTCTTCTTCTTCTTCCACCTCCTCTCCCCCTTCTCCTTGCTGTTGTCGCCGAGCATCGCGTGCGTGACGCTTAATGGGGCCAAGCACCAGCTCTTCTTCCTCTGTGTATCCTCGCTTCCGTAGCGATTCAAGGGGTCGCGTCGCCCCATATGCCTGATATGTGGTGGCTGAGTAAAATAACACATCTTCAACCAAAAACAAAAACGTTGTAAAGTTTGTAGCTGCCTGCTGGCTACCAAGTCCAAAGTGTGCCCCACCAAGAAGATTATGACGAACAGAAAATAATGCACTGTACTCCTTCACCACTCCTGTCAAAACGGCGTTCAGCAAAACATGGACACGCTGCTGCACAAGATATGCCACTAGAAGTTCCAACTCTGAAGCTCCGTAGGCCTCATGCAGAAGGGCATGAAAGAGCACCTTTACGAATATCATCGTTGTGGATGCCAAAAAAGACGATATATCACTTGCCTGCATGTCGCACAAATCATCTTCCGAAAGGTACAAGTCCACAACACTCGCATACCATCCTGGCACAGACACGACACTTTTCCACGCCGATGGATCTTGTTGTACTAACGCTGCAATATCGGACATGGCCCTAATCTTTAAGGACTTTTCTTGACACCGTTTCATCATCTGCAACAGCGGTGTAAAGGCTGGGGCAAAAAGAATCTTGTCTTCCCGTTTCAGTTCTGTACAATCATTTATGGGTGCATCAAACCGACCTGTCAGGGCGGCACGCAATGTAATGTACAGTCCCACATCCACCTGCACAGCGTGAAGTTTTTCCCTGAGCCATGAGAGAGAGATATCACAGGCGACGTGTGCCGCCTCACGTGCGGACAGCAGAGTGGGATTCAGCAACTCCTGCGTCCGCCGCGAGCGGCCGACAAGCAGACAAAAAAGCAAAAGCGCCTCATTTTGAACCATCCCACGAGAGTCTTCCAAAAGCAACAGAAGAACCGCAGCAAAGTCCTTCTTGCCCATGTAGGCAGCAAGTAGTGGTTTTCGTGTCGCAATGAGCACGCGACACCTTTCAAGAATTTCAAGAAGTACCATCGACTCAATTTGTTTCACAGCAAAATTTATAAGACGCAGAAGGGCATCCGCGTCGTTCATTGTTATGGGCTCCACCATCATAACTTCCAGAAGAACAAACATTTCTCTTCGCATGGACGCATGATGAGGAGAAGACGTGTTGTACACATGGATGATTTCACTCACGACAAAATTCGACAAATCCAGTGCATGCGCACGTCGGCAGAGCTCCTTATTTGCACCACACATGGCAGTTTGGGTTTTGATCAGCGCCAACTGTGTTTCCTCGGAGCATGCGTGTAAAAGATCCCCCGAAAGAAAAAGTACGGTGTAGGCGGCATCAAAAATGGCACCATTGGGTAAGAGGGCGCTGCAAAGGTTACACATTCTCTGGGCGAGATTGGAGCAGTGATACTCCATAAACTGCTGCAGAACGTGGGCAATCATTGGGAAAAGGCCAACCTCCAAGACATCCGCACGTACGGTGTTGCTAAGCAGAAGCGACTCCACAAGCTTCAAGAGATCATCCACCGCCTTCCGGGTGGTCTCCGGAACAGACTTGCGTTTTGCCGGCGGAATACGACACTGAAACGGCAGCTGCGGATTCACCAGGAGAACTAACAGCGGCACCACCACCGTATGCAACGCGCCAAGCACACAGATGGAATCAATAATACTGTTTGTATTGCACGCGACGGTACCCTCGTATGTGATCAGAGGCAACTCAGACGCTTTCCCACGCATCAACGTCGCCAAATTGTGGACTTGACCACGCTCGCAAAATCGGGGATCAATGTATACGGCAATATGCGTGGCGTATTGCTTCATGCTCGTCACGCCCGTACCTCCCACAAAAAACTCCAATACTTCCTTTGGCGTTAGTGCGCGCATGAGAAAATACACCGCCGTCATTTGCCCAATGAAGGATCTTCGAGAGGAGCGTTGTTCCACATCCTCGCCACGTGTCCCAATGTAAAAAAAGCCAAGGGAGATTGGTGGGTATTGAACACCGGAAACCGCAGCAACCTCCATACCATTGAGAAAGCATAAAAATTCGTTGCCGCTAAATGGGAATGCCGCCTGCCGGTGAACAACCGTCAACTGTGTCCATGTCTGTGATGGGATACTGCAATTCAGATCCAAATCCAATGTTCTCCTCTGTTCATTTAGAAATATAACAGAAAGACTATGGGCCGTGGCAACAAGCTCTAATATCGTTCGCTTCTCCATGTTTTGCAAAGAAAAATACACTGCGGCATAC